AGACTTTACTTACAATACTTGTATATGTGAATTAACATTTGTACAAAAATTGCATTCAAAATAATAAAAAACAAATGCAGAATTATTTTTTTTTCTCAACTTAAAAGCAATTTTAAAATAATTTTTTTTCTAATTTTCAAAGAATATACGAGAATGAGTAACCATATTGGTAGCAATATAAAACTCCTACAGATTACAAAATTTTTTATTTAAGAAAAAAAAAAAAAATTTTTTTTTTTCAGTTTTTTGCTTATTTTATAAAACCGATTAATTTATTTAATCTACACAAAATTCTATTTCTAATCATTTGCAATATTTTAAATAATTTTTTTTTTCATTAATTTTTTTCATTGACTTAATATAGAAATAATTCTTTATTTCTTGAGAGGAAAATTTAGACAAGAATACAACCTGATTTGCAACATATACCGAACAAAAAAAAAAACAAATCACCATACCAAATGAATATTGATTGCATGTTATTTGAATGTAAATTTTTATTTAAAACGCTTACTGACTGAGGTGTTTACATTAATGTCACGTCGATATGAATTTGAATAAATTATGTTTTAAAAATTTAATATAAGTTCTAAATATTATTAAATCATTGGACAAAACTGGCGCTTAATTCTACATATTACCATTATTTGCACACGCTCAGTAATAAATTTATTTGGAAAATTTACTTGTATATAAAAAATGGTGAATAATTTGTTTCTCATTATTTTGAGATTAAAAAAAATAGTAGAAGCAAAAAAATTTATCACATTTTGTGATATTAGCATTTTGTTTATTTTAATCGAAAATTTAGAATTATCTTAAAGAATTTTGAATGGAAACAGATAAGATTTTTTTTAAAAATGAATTTAATTTTAAGTTAGGAAAATTTTAATGGGTTTTTCAATATGATTCACAGCAAAAATGGGATTAATAACAAATTAATTGCGGTAAATAATAGTGTCAATTGTTTTATTACAACTGTAATGCAGCCAAAACGAGAATTGAAACTGTCAGCGCTTATGCGGTTGTTGTACATATCAATTATTCACTTATCCGTTCTTGACTTTGTGTAGTTTCTAGACTGAAATCAGGCCAACGACGCTTGTCAAACATTAAAATCACTTTTGTTGACTTAGAGTCTCAAATTTTTATATCCAATTAATAGTGGTCGCAAATTTGCTTAATTGCAAGCTAAAAATAGTTCGATATCAAGTTTATTACGAAAATTCACAATAATATTATTAAAATTTTCTTGAATCGAAGACTTATAACTATGTTTAAATGGTTTAATATTGCCATAATCTTTATTAATGCTTACATTTTAAAAACATGTTTTTTTATTAAAATTCAATAAAATTTACACAAAACTTCTTAAATCTTAAAAATTTAAAAATTACCTACGTAAATTTATATTCTTTTTTATCTTCTTAAGTAAATGATAATATCTCTTTTATTTTCATCTAAGGAAATACATTAAAACAATGCAAGCACACAAAATAAATACACAAATTAATATACCTACATATTTTATTTGTTTGAATTGCAAGTTCTCTTTTGAGCAATGAATTCTTTTGTTCATATTTGATACTACATAATCAATTTGGTATATACCTACCATATACTTAAATTTTTATGTTATTTGTCGTTTTACTAATGGTAGCGTGCTATTCAATGAGTTGAATGCAAGTGAATGAGGAGCAAAGTGTGCTAAATAGAAAACTAAAGCGTATCATAAAGTTCTTTATTTATTTGATATTACGAATATTTTAAGAATTTTCTATTGTATTTGAGAATAAAAACAAATACAAAACAGTGTGATACAGTTTGGATCCTAAAATTCGGTTTGGCAATATACTTCAATTTTTGCAAATTTTATAATTTTGCTTATATTTATTTATAATAATGCCAAAATACAATGATATTATTAATAATAGCATTAATAAATAGACTTCTTTAAAAAACTATTAAAATATTAAAATTTGGGTCAATCACAAAATCAATCAAAAATACATATATGTACATACATGTTATTTACAATCTATTCAAATACATAAATCCAATTATGTAGACATATATATATATATATATATGTATGTTTGTTCTACGTTTACTTCCGTCCAAACATAAAATTTGTTAAAGTCATTCACATTTCTTTTAAAATAAATTTGATTGGAAATAAATAATTTAGACAATAAAAAGAAAAATATTTTTCAATCAAAACTGACCTTCACCTCTAAAAGAAGTACAATAATAAAAAAAAATTAACCTTGCCCTTTTTACCCATAAAATTTGGTGCAAAATTATTATACTTCATATGTATATTTAAAGTGTCTTATACTTTCAATGAATTTCCTCATTAAGAAATTTCTACATAATTTTTAACTTCCTTAAAACATGTATTCGTACTAAAGCATTTTGCCTTTAAATGAAAAAAGTACATGCCTAATTTATTAAGTTAAGTAATTTCCATTAAAAAGGAGTGTTCCATTATATACAAACAAAATATGTAATGTGAAAAGCTTAAATGCTGACCTATCCCTAAAAGGTTTATAAAATCAAGGTATCATCAGATATTTTAGTAAAAATATTAAAGTTAATTTTCTTTTTAAAAATCTCTCCTTTCTTGAAAACTTAAATTATTTTGTATACCAAATTGGAATTAATGAGAAAAATTAAACAAGAAAATTCGAGAAATGAAATTACCAATCTTACGAACAATATTTTATATTAATGACATTTTAAATTAACATGGAAGAAGGTTCGATTCTGAATAATTATTATGAATAATAATGATGAACAATAAAACATTATTTAATATTGAAAATAAGGCAAAGTATTTGGAAAGAGAACACCAAATTTTGCCGAATATTTTTAATATTCTGATTTTTAATCTGAAACGTTGAAATTGATAGTGATATTTATCGTGAAAGATCAAAAAATTTTATTATAGGCATGAATCATTTGTATGAATTGGTTTGTGTTTAAAATAATCAAATCGTATTTTTACGATACTTTTACGATGATTATCACTATTGCTTTTCGATACTCAGAATAAGCACCATTGTTATGAACTTACAATATTACTAGCTAGTGAATTTACATTGACAAATAAAATCAGTTAAGAAAAACGCCACTATTTTCAAATTTTGTTTTTTTCATTTTAAATTTTACCAAACTGTATTGGGTAGATATGCATTTAGCTTAACATAAACTAAATTATGTATATTAGCTAATCCATCGGTGGTATAGTGTAGTAGACTTGTATAAATTTATGTATACCTACCCTATTCAGCATATAAATATCAAATTAATACTGAAGTGTATTATGCACACTGCACTACCGAACTTTCGACGCTCATAGCCACTTTACAAATATTTTATTACCAAGCACTGGAATAGGTGTAGAGTTGATGACAATTGAAATTTTGATGTAATCTAATTCCCATACATGCGTGTGTAATGTATTTCACCTACATATATAAAAAATATGGTGTTAAACTTAAATTTAAATTAAATTATTTGTGATAATTTTTATAAAATATTAATAAATTAATGTAGCGCTATAATAATATTAGGTTTACATAAATTTAATAAAATTTTATATATAAAATAAATTATCAAATGCAATTTATTTATATACGCACATATAAAAAAATACATGAACATAAATATACAAACATATGCACATACACAATTTTATACGTAAAGTAATCAATAAAGCCGGAATATAAAAATTTCATAGTCTTATGCGAATTTTTAATGATTTTGTCCGTGAAAGGTTATTGAATGTTTGACCGAGATTTTCAAATCAAGAGCATTATTTTTGAAGAGTATAGAAATAAGCGAAAATGGGCAGCGAAAAACTCAAAAAAAGAAGAATAAAATTATAAAAAAAGAATTGGTTAGATGGGTGCACGTATAATTTATGATTAAATTTACAAGAATTACTGGTAATGTATCTGTAATAGTAATGATTACATTTTTATGTGCAAAATATAAACTTAAATGTACCCATACCAAATTGAAAAAAAAAAATGAACAAAAAATATTTGAAAGGTTTATTTGGTGTCGTTTTCCAATCAATCAGTATTGTCGCACATTATTGTAGATGCATATATAAAGTATGATAGAAAATTTATGTTAACGGTCTAATAATTATATAACGAAAAATTTATAGAAGATATAAAAAAAATAAAGAAAACAAAATGACAACAAGCCGTGCAAAAGTGCAAAAATGATGAATTGTATGGCATTTGGGCAAGCCTAATGAAATTTATTAATTTTGTGATAACTTATACCATTTAAAATTTTTATTAAAAATTCTAACCAATTAAAATTATGTTGCATTAAACACAAAAAATTAATAATTATTAATGTACGATTAGTTATAGGCGCACAAATATTAGCCTTAAATTTATTAAAAGAATAAAAACCATAAAAAAAATTTTATTGTTTTTTACTCATTGTGTGGATCTTTCAATATTTTAAACAACCATATTTGTGATTCCTTAACTGATGTATCTACTTATATTATTAAGTTGATGACTTTGAGATTCAATGCTAGTCAACGTATCGTGCAAATGATCGAGACAGAAACGATCATCTCAAAAAAAAAATCGCTTTCACATCGAATATGCCAAAATATAAAAGACCTATATTTACCAAAAATTAAAAGGTTTGGATACACTTCTTCAAAATAAATGTAAACTGAGAGTATTTTACTAATTCAATTTTAATCTACTTGGTTGATCTTACAAACGTACCAATAAATTTATAACATCACCTTTTACATGATGTTTTCTCGATTTTTATCATTGTGGAATGTGGACTCGTATTTTTTCTGGCGATTTTTTAATTCCACAATAAAGCAGAAAAAAACAATTTTTTTCGTTTTGTTTTCTATATTCCTGAAATAGAAAGTTTTGTTTCAATTCTTAAAAATTTTGGTTTGTGTCTTAAATAAATGTCATGTCAACAGTTTTCTTCTTTTTTTTTATATGGCAGTACAGAAATTTCTTAACCTTCAAATCGCTTTCCAAAAAAAGTCAGAATTTCTATCAATTCAAAGGAGTTAATCCGCATGTAGTGTGTAACTTTAATTATAAATTATAAGATTTATTAAAATATTAAGTAATTTTTTAGTTGAAGAAATAATAACAAAGCATTACAATGGCTGATTTAGATGATTTTTTTGCTAAAAAAGACAAGAAGAAATCAAAAACTAAAAAATTTTTGACACCCGAAGAGTTGGCTAAAAAATTGGAAGACACGTCAAAAAAGGCTGTTGAAGTAAAACCTCAACAACCACCGCGAAAAGAATTGCGTCCAAATGATGATCTATTAATTTTAAAACCAGAAGAAGATCCTCAAGCAGTATGAATTATACATAAATATTGGTAAATATGAAATTTTTTTTTTTTATTTTAGGATAATGAGGAGTGGAAAGAATTTCAAGAAGTAGAACAAAAAGATTATAGTGGCTTAAAAATTGGTCAGCTCACATTAAATGATGACGAAGATGAACTAGGTTCAGGGCAGGAAGGTGGATTAGACGAAAATGATACAGATGGAGAAGGCAGTTCGAATAAGGATCGAAAACAAGGTCCTTGGAAATCTGTTGTTCCAGCTGAAGAAGTTACACAAATACCAGTTGAAGTTAAACCGAGTGTATACGTATCCCCAGCCTTTAAAGTAAGTCAATTAATTTTCAATATACATATATCAAAACCAAATATACAAAATAATAACATTAATGTACATACTTCCTATTCTTACCAATATACGTGTAATTAGTTGTAAATTCACTTCAAGTCATTTAATTAAAATCAATGTTTTTGAAAATGATAAATTTATGCCTTATTTACTATTATACATTTTGATATAATTAAATTTTGAGTTTATAAAATTGATAGAATTGTTGCTTTTTATAAGGCAATTTATTGATCAACGAACTTAATAAATTCAATTGAATAAACTACTTAAAGTGAAAACAAAAAATTTATTTTTAGACACAATGTACATGACAATGTTTATACCTATAAAACAATAACTTGAACAAATTGCACGATAAAATAAAATATGTACATACTTATTCTATTAAAAAATTTTTTCTTAATTTAAAATTCAAAATTTAAATTTTTTCTTATTAGGCGGCTAGTAAAACTATTAAAGCCCGCAATCGGAATGCTCCAGACATAACAAACGAAGAATATTTTCCAACATTAGGAGCTGCAAGACCTGAAGAACAACGTAAGAAAAAAAATGAACCAAGCTTTGAAGAAGTAAGACACGGTGGTAGAATGCAAAGAATACAAGAACTGAAAAGAAATACTGAGGCCCCAGTAATAGGAAATCGTTATGATTCATTAGCTGAAGAAGATAGCTAGATAAAATTCTTTAAAATTATTATTTTTTAAACAGTAAAACAGCAAAGGGGTAAATCAAGTTTTTTTGAAAAGGAAATACTCAAAAAAACATATATTAACAGAAATAAAAAACAAAAATAGATTTGTATTAAACAGAAGCATTAAAAAACTTTTCCAATAATAAAAAAAAAAAAAAAACCATTTCAATTAATTTAAATTGAAAAAATTGTAATATTTTGCTTTACATAGTAATATCTCAATACAAAAATTAAGTATTTTTTTTTTTAAATTGTCTTAAAAGTTATAAGAATTTATTTTAAAATAATAATTATTCTATTCAAAAACAAAGCGTTATTGCCACAATTTTAAATTTTAAAACTTTTCTTCCTATTATATATGTGTAAAAGAAGATAAAATATTTTTATCTTCCGATATAAGGTTTAATATTGTATTTAATTGTTCTCAATATAGAAGAAAAAAGAAACAATATTCATTAGGAGTATTTTACAAATAAATTTATTTTGCATAATTCTTTTTTTTTTTTCAATAAAAAAAATGTTCCTCTTAAAAATGACTTGATTTTACTTATTTTGTTTTTTGTGCGTCTGATATTATTTGTTTTAAATACATATTTGAAGAAATAAATTGTTTTAGGTACTTTTTTTACTTACATGGGCAACAATAAAATTCTATATTTTAAAAAATTTAAATTGAATATTACTTATATATATTTTTTTTTTAATTTTTGTACATTTATAATTATAATACACTTTTGTATACGCAATTAAAACATAATTTTATTAGTAATACGTATAATTAACAAAAAAAAATATTGTAACAGCCTATTTACAAATTCTACTTCAACACTTCATTCCAGTGGAAATTCCTGTGATTATTTCTTGTGATTCATCTGTAAACAAATCTGCTGAATTGCTTTCCAAATAACTAAAAAATTATTAAAGTAAATTCATTAATTACAAAATATTTTTATGAGGTATAATACTTTTTTTTTCATTTTACGCTTTTATTTCTAATATTTTTTTTTAATATTCATTTAGAAACTTAAATCATCAATTGGTTTAATATTTTCAGTACGTAAATACCTTTCACGATATGGTAATTCTTTTGTATTAGAATAGCTTGTCAATAATTTTTTATTTAATAATGATTCAGGAAATTTCCTTATGAGATACAACCAACATTTTAAAGTTCTTAAAAAAAAATGGTAATAAAATATTAAATATAAGAAAAGAAAATTGAAAATTTTTACACTTACTCATTTCCCATTTGAATATCACGTATTTCACGATCATAATACTGTGGATAATCTTCAAGAATATCCAATTTACTCAACATTTTATCATTAATTTCATAAATTTCTCCTTCAATATTATTTCCTACACCAACTTTATTCAATAGAAATGGAATGTTATAACGTGTACCAACTACTAATGGAAATTTTTCTTTAGTTTTTCCTTCACCTATAAAAATTGCTTCACCATTTTCTGGATCTGTTAACCAGTAATGATTTGGTTGATTACGTTTTAGTGTACCATAAACAAACACATGATGATTTTTTGAAATACGTGACATTACCTAAAAATATATATAAGCGTAATCGTATGAATATTATAAATTTAAATGAATATTATGGAAATTAAATAAATTGTAAAAGTATTATTTGTCATACGAAACTAAAAATTAAAAAATCATCTCAATATATTTGCATAAACAGATTGCAAATAATGCATACAGACATACATATTTTTAAAAAACTGAGAAATTAACACAAAAACTAAAGTAAGTGCATTTATGAAATATTTTCCAAAAAATAGGTTCCTGTATATTTTTAAAAATTTTTTTCCATTATGATAATGATACCAAATTTAAAATTTAAAATTCAAGATCAAATTATTTTTTTAATTTATAGGTATACATACATGATATGATTTTAATGCAATTCTCGTAATGATAACCATTTTAACAGTATGTTATATAAAACTTTTCAAATTAAAATATGTATTTATTTCACTAATTCAATTTTAAAACTATTTCATCTTACAAACGTACCCAAAAATTTATAACTTTTTTTGAATCTGATAATTAAAATAAATTTTTTAAGACGAAATTTTAATTTTCAAAAAAAAATAAATTTGAAAATTGATTAGCTCTATGTCTATGACTTGACTCAAAATTAATGGGTTTATAGAACTCTAAATCCAGACAAATTTTGCAAAAGCAAAATAATGAAAAAAAAAATAATTATTCTAACGAACACCTTTTTATTATCAAGCCAAAATTTTTCAATACTTTAATCTATTATCACAAGTTTACTTATTTATGTACAAAATAAAAGTAGGTTATTGCTAAATACAAACTGAAGAAACTGAAAAAAACTAGACAACTTAAATGAAAATAAAGAAATTAGAAATGATTATGATATGACATGATAAGTTAGTACAAGCATTCAGTATTTGAAATAAGTCAATTTCAAATTTTCATCTTTCAAATTCTAAATTTACATGTTCAATTTAAAATTTTTAACTTTCTGATTGAAGGTCTGTCTGACATAAAAAAGTTTTTAAAAATCTTATAAAACTTGAAAACAGTTTTCATAAAGTTTTTGTATGCGGGATAATACTTTTTGAACAAAAATGAAAAAAAATGATGACATTTTCATTTTCTCAATATTTAAAGTATTTTAAAGTTTTATACCAGACAGACCTACAGTTTCTGTATCTGTTTCTATTGATTGATACAAATATTAATCAATAGTTAATTAAAACAATTATAGGTTAACAGGTTTGAATTAATTTTCATATTCTTTCACCAATAATTAAAAGTAATGCAAGTGAATATTTTCAAGTAATCCATTAATATTTTCTTTACTCTATGTTCAAATAAGCTTATACATATTTATAATTCAGGTATACCTAGTATTTAAAAAAATTAGTTAACATATTTTGACAGCTTTCTATAAAATATACCGTTATTATTATTGATTGTATAGAATTAAAATATATTAACGGAAATAGAAACGAAAGTTAGATAGACAAAAAGATGTTATATTAAGAACATAATATTAAAACATCAAATTAATACGCATTAGAAATGTCAATTTGTATATAATTACCAATATATTTTAATAACCTTCAAAAGAAAGATTTTTTTTTTTTGTTGTAATTTTAATTTGAAATTTTTTTTCTTTTTAAATTATAAAAGGTGAGTGGGGGAATAATAATATTCACTCGAATTCATTCATAAATAAATGAAAAATACTAATTATACAGATAAAAAAAATAATGAAAAGATTGTACTTAAGATAACCTAATAATTTTTTGATAGATTGACATTTTTTTAAACAAATATTGAAATTTTTTTTTTTAATTTTTGTTTTTTGTAATTGATGTGCGAGCTTTTTGTAATGCTGATGTGCGATGTATGAATGTATGAAGATAATATAGAGAGATTAATTCTCTTATTACATCTTTCTATGTGCTTCTAGAGACCCTTGCTTTGATAATTATAGTGATAACGAGAGATGCAATAGATACGAAATAAATATGATTTTACGATGTAATATATGAACACTTGTTTGTAAGTACACGTGTACACACATAACGTATCTATTTGAGAAGTATGCACTTACCAAGATTGACAGAGATTTTTTGTAATGTCAAGGTACTTACTAAACGTATAAAAGGAACTTACTGTAATTGTAACATCAACAAGTGTGCAATTCAGTTTAAATTAACTATCAGTATTAATGTCATACAATGTTTACAATATTCTATGCAAAATGGAATGATTTTATGGTAAAGATAAGTTAAATATTTTGAATTAGGATTCAAATTTTCTAATTTTCATATCATACTACAAATTAAAACTCCGTATAAATATTAAATTTTTCATTATTTCTATTTACTTTTAATTTCTTTTGGGTACCAGAATATTTTTCTCAAGAAAATATTAATTCTTATTGTTATTGTTCATTTAAACGAACCAGAAATTTACAGATCAATGTGAGTAATTAAAATTGTTTATATAAAAGTTTAAATGAATATAATAAAATAGCTAAAATTCATAATTATATAAAAATATTTAATGTATTCAAAACGAATTATTTCTTATAATAAAATATTCAACGACCTCAGAAAAATAATATATTATTAGAAATACGGTTTAAAATAAAAATAAAAACATTAAACTGTATGAATCAATATCAAGATCAAGAAAATAAAATCAAGCCAAGACATAATTTTATACTAATATATTTAAATATATTTATAAATATTTATTTTACTGTAATGGAAAAGATTAATGTTAAAGTTATCGTATAACACATATAATATAAAATTGGTGTTGTTCAACTGTAGGATTAAATAAAGAAATTGTATTCAAAATTTAATAATTCAAAAAGATAATTTTAGTAAATTATTTATATTTAAGAATTTCACTCGACCTGTTTTTGGAACTTAAACTTGAAAATTCATTGTTTATTTAAGAATATGTTTAAAGAAAAACAATAAAAGCTATATAATATACAAAACAATTGTGTAAATAAAGTGTTATAATTTCACCTAATTACCTATAGAAAAGTAGGTGATCATCATATAAGATTATAAAAAGAAATATATATATACTATTAATTAATTTTTTTATTCAATTCTCTGTAATGCTTTGAAATTAATTATATAATGTTATTATTTATAAAGTTATATAATAAATTTTTTCAGTACTTAAGCTGAGCTCAATTTTTAATTTGAGTTGTTTATACATATATGATTATGAATTACTGCTTTTGGATTTTTGGATTTTTGTATTCTACATATATATAATAATAATATTATCAGTTCGATTTTTTTGATTTGTTGAATATTTTCATTTTAGAAATTCAATTATGAAGTTGAGATTCTATGATACTGAATAAGCCAAATCTTCATTAACTGGATGCTTATGCGTTCTTTTATTTCTGATAACATATGGATATTCGGCACTGTTCTTATATGATGATAAATATTGAAGATTTAATAAATTTTCCGGATATTTTTGTAGTAAATAAACCCAACATGGAACGGTTCTAAAAATAAATACAAAATTATATTAAAATTTTTTTAATCTCTATTTTATAATAAATTGTATTTTAAAAAAATAAACTATAATTATATAAACTATAATTTGATTATAAAATATCGTATATGATCAAATTTACTAATCGCAAATCGTTTACGATAATTGCTTTTTTATTAATTTATACTCTAACGAGTTTGATAACAAATTCTTGAAAACAAATTTTTGTAAATTGCTAGTAAAATTCTAAATGTAATCTTAAAACGTTCTTTCAAACGCAAACGCTAAATACTCGTATATTCATTAAAGAATTAGAAATTTAAAAATTTAATACGTTATATATGCAATGCCTAACCTTTTTTAAAGATTTTTATTTCACTTGCTCAAGATATAGAAACTTATGGAACTATTTAAAAAAAAAAAATTCCCAAAATATTAAATTTAAACTTGTATTCGGATAATTTTTCAAAAATAATTTAATATGATCTTAAAATTTTGGTTTTATTCTGTTATACATGTATAAGTGTGTATATATATTAGTTCTATTTTAAATGCATCTTAAAATATAAATGAATATATTTTGAAATAAGATACCAAAATGTTATATACTAGTATTATGAACTAAAATAGAGTAAAGAAGCAGAATTAGTAAATTTAATTGAAGCTATAGAAAAAGTTTTTGAACTTGATACGTTCATTAATATTATACTAATTTTAATTTAAATAGAGTTACATTATGTGTATAATAATAAGTTAATTTGCTAAAACTTTTATATTCTCAGAATTAATTTATTAACAGAGAAGCAGAGAAGATTACAGGGCATGAAACCCATACAGAAATTCTTTCTATATTTTCATTATACAAATGGAAGAGTTTCTGGCACATAGGTGTACACATTTCATAAAATATTTTTGCTATAGAAAATAAAAACACTTTCATATATCAATTAGAAGATCAAATAAAAAATGAAAACAAATTTTGTTTATTTATAAAAAAAAAAGAAAAAAACATGCTAAAAAGTAAAAAAAAATTGTAGCAAATGTTTATTATATACCGGATTGTGTTCTAATTATCGAATTGTCACTTTTTATTAATACAACAAATTTTCAATAATAACTTTTTATAAAGATATCAAATTTTAACAATTTGTATAATAATTAGAATTAAAATCTAAATTAGTTATTTAATTTCAGAACTCAATTCTATTAATTTGTAGTGTTTTTTAATTACGTTACGACAAAATATATACGAAACTTACCCTTCACCAACTCCAATATTCATATTTTGTATTTCTCTTGTATAAATATCTTGGCAATCTTCTAAATTATCCAATACATCTAACATTTTATTATCAACTTCATATATTTCACCGGTAACATAATTACCAATACCTGGTTTATTTAATAAAAATGGTATATTATAACGTGTTGCAATAACAAGAGGTAGTTTTTCGGTTGTTGTTGCTTTACACCAAAATTTTGCATAACCATTAGCTGTATTAGCTAATATTGAATGATTTGGTTGACCATATTTAAGTGCACCACATACAAATAATTTATTTAAGGCAGTTGAGGCTTTCTATAAAAATATAAGTAATATATCGTATATAATGAATTATTAATAAATGAATAGAAAAACATATATATAAAAATAGTAAGTATATATATAAATTTATTATATGTGTATGTTATTATTACATTTATATGTATACGAGTATAATTTATTACACTAAGATAAGAATAGTAAATGAAATGTGCAAAAAAAATATTATTAACAATTTCTCACTAACCCACTAAAAATATTTTTACGATAATAAATTTAGTAATTCTATAAAATTTAATTAAGATAAAAAAATCTCATACAAGTATTTGATTTATTAACAGGAACATATACTTTAAATCGAAGCTAAATGTCAGGTAATCTAAGATTTCGTGTTCGATATGGTAACAAAATTCAATAATGTAGATTAGTCTTGCTTGGTGATTTAAAGAATTTCGTGTTATTCATTCTTGTAATTTAACTTAACATGCACAATAAACTGCTTAACTTTTGGAAAACTAATCTTGAAAAGTATGTTGAGTCGGAGTCTCATTCGTTAGTTATTGAGGGACGAAAGTTTTGCAGTAATTTCTTAAATTTTATAAAAGCTTAATTCGTTTGAATTAATTAAGAAATTTCCGCTTTGAAATTAAGCATTAATTTTTCAATATTGAATGTTATTCCAAAAATTTTCTTAATATATTTGATAAAACCGGTCTGTAAAGAGTCTGATTTTTTATATAATTAGCCTTTTTCTTGTAGGAAATACGAAAATTAGTATATTATGTCAAATACTTAGTTTTACACTTAGTTAAATAATTTAACTTTGCTCAAATTTTCCTCTATGGCCTTAGGCCATAACTTGTTTAGTCCATTACGAAGTCCGTCCCTGTGCAATTGCATTTTAAGTTTAAAGTATTCAATACAAACATTTACAAAATTAAAATAATAGCTTCTTGAACTTTACTATATATATAAATGAATTCTATTAATTTCTTTTACTTTTATTTACTTTAATTTCTATGTGTATATGCAATAAATTTTCAATGTTAAATTTACATTTTAAGTCGAATATTTTTATTGGACCTTTATGGAACTGGTTTAATTTCACTGATATCTTCAAAAACTTGTTACTCAAACAAATGTACATAATATTATACAAATATTTCTTTTTTTTTTGGTAATGAAATTCATTTATGTTTTTTATCGGGGGAAAAAAAACCGAAAAAGTAACTAACCTTGAAAAATTTTTATTCAATAGTTCAAGTCATTAAATACTCTCTTTTTAGACAAACTATAGCTATATATCTACCTATTTATATTAATTTTAAAATATATTTCAATGTAGTTATTTATATAGGTGTGTATAGAGAAATAGATAATAATTATTATTGTTAAAAAAAATATTCCTATAAATTCTGTTATCAGATCGAAAAATATTAAATTTAATTGAAAGTTTACAAATTTCTTGGAAACAATTGTTTTCATTATTCTTGAAATTTGGGCACAATTAAAAATTTCTTGTTGTACTTCAAATTGCTACAAGTGATTTTGATAAGTTTATTGAGGTAAATAGGTAGTATGTTAGTGCTGATGTATGTATATAATTGCATATTCATATTGATTTTATATAAATTTCAAATAAATTAATTCAAAAAAAAAATATTTAATTCAATTATAAAAATAAGGGCAATTTGCTGTTAAATTTTTGTTTTTTGCATTATAGGAAAATTTTTATTCATTTTCCTTTAAATGCACTTTATTTTAATAAATAATGACGTCTTCAATTCGACCGATTCATAAATTATTTTTTTTCTTAAAATTTCTTTTGCACGCAATTTTTTAACAATATTTTATTTAAATTTATATGTATGTAAGTATGTGTTTCAATTTTTTGCAGCCACTTGAAATTAACTTCAATTAAATTCAACTGTAATAATAATGTAAATTGATTGAAATCAAAAATGTAAAAGCAAAAATTAATTTAAGTAAAGAATGGTTTCATTTATAAATATTGGAATACGGAAGACCTTTGAAAGGGACTATAATGTTCAAGAGACAAATTAAAGTAATTAAGTGGTTTATAATAGGAATAAAAAATATTTTAATAATGTAATATTATTTTTGATAAGGTATTGAAAAACATACCCTTTCTCATGATCTTTTCAATGCCTATGAAGTGAAAACGAAAAATGGTTCTTGTTGGGCTGGGAAAAGGTTGTGGAATTAAACAACTTATCTAATACGGTTATTAGAGAGATGAAAATGCTATTTCTTAAACTAAAAAACCGATGCTGAAAAATAATTGGATTTAGAAAGAGGTATAGTGACAGCGCTATTTTAGAACATTGATCAGTCTGGAGTGCAACTTTGCTCAATCAAATAACAGTACAATTCTGCACACGCAGTTGAATTTATAGGCTCATAATTTCAATGTTTAATAGTTTAATTTCAATTTTATGAAACTGGAACTAAATCAAATTGTTGAGCTAGTTTTAATTTCAATATGATTCAATCTCAATAATGTGATTTTCGATGAATGTAGAATTTAAATTCAATATTTTCAAATTTCTTTATGTATACATACACACAAATCAAATTTAAAATAACGCATTAAAATTTTAAAAATATTATAAATAAAAATGAAGTATATGTGAACCATGTGCCAAATTGAATTAAATTAAATAGCTATAATAATAATAATAATTTATCATTTTTGATATATGAATTGAAAAACAAACATATAATAATAAAATAATAAACTGTAATACAAAATTTATATTAAATATCTATTATACGCTATAAAATTCACTATCTTTATAAATATTAACAATATTGCATGTTATAGTAAAGTTTTATTTCAAGTATCATAATTTCTATTTCGTATCTACTTATATATGAAGAATGTATATTTTACAAGTAATTATAATGTATATACAATGTTAAGTAGATAATGCACGACATTAATTTTAAAAAAAAATTATTAAAAATTAAAGAAAACATTTATAAATTTTTATAAATGCTTTATAATTTTAATAAATTATTATTTAATAATACAATTTTATATAATTAATTAAGAGCTGTTCTCTTTATATTGCATAAATTTTAAAAAAGTCAATTAATAAATAAATTCAATATAAATAATTTTAAATTAATTTTTTTTATAGCATGACGTTTTTACACCAATTTAAAAAATATATTGCATTCAATTATATACACGCATTTACTTTTATACTATATATATAAATTTTAAATTTCGTAGACATGATAAAAAAATTTATTCAACCTACATTTTAATAGAAATACTGCAGTAAAACCGTGATTATTTATAGAAATTTAAAAAATAAACTTATTTTATTGCACATGCCTTGAAACATAATGGTCGGTCATCTGTTTTTCTGCATCATATTTTAAATAACCATAATTTTTTTAAAAATTTTATTCAATTGTATTAAAAAACAAGAGTAAGGTAATGTACTAATAGCGAACCTTTTCCAAAATAGTATTGTATTAAATTTTTGAAAAATTTATGGCATCATTAAATTGAAAAATATTTTTTTATAATTTAATTATCACATTTATTGTATATAATTTATTTTATATACAAAAATATTTATACACGTATGTGTACCTTGGTAATCTGTTATTCAAAACTTACTATGAAAAAACACACGCAACAAACAATAACTATAAAGAAAAAAAGCAATATCACAAAAATGAAATTGGAAAAAATTTAATTTTTTATCATTGAGATTTTATTTTGAAAATTATATACGAATGCATTCATAATTTTAAAAATATTATGAATATAAATTTTATATTGGAATATTTTCATAATATTTTAATTAAAAAATTTCTTAAATTTAAATATATAAGTTTTAGAATGCACACATTATGGGACATAGCCGGGATCATCTTACAAATATTATCAAATGTGCCTAATTCATTTAAATTTCAATAATCGAATAACGAGTGTCCTCCGTTCCGCGTATTAATTTAATATCCGAAAGCCTATATAGATTTTCTATTTATGTATATTACAGGTGCCTACCTAAAATAGAATAAAATTAATATTAGATAACATGGATAATCATATAGAGCTGCTCATACTACGTTCTCTAACTACAATATTATTCTATATTACACACTTTACAACAATGTAAAAATATTGATTTAAATTTTATTTAAAAATAGGAAAATATCCTTTTGGTTGAGTATTATATTCTTTACCATATCACATCACGTACCTTTATGTTGCACATGTTGGGGTGCTTTTTTCAATATTTCCTTTACCTCTTCTTATTAATTTCGAATTAAATATGCTGGTGCGTATGTATATATGTATTCCGCTTTTATATTCCTAAAAGAAGCTTTGTACCAATATTGTATTTGTTTTTTATTTATAATTGAAAATTATTCCAGATAATTTCTTAAATTTCTTATAAATTTTTTTGATTTTGTACTCAATTAAATAATAATTCTTAGAAAGCCGCTTTAAAATACAGAAATTTTTTCTTCTATTTTTATTTTAATAACCTAAATTTTCTCCAAAAATTAAATCAAATGCAATTTACGTTCTTTTTTATCCGTTAAACAACTCAATAACAAAAGAGACTCAGTTAAATACTAACTTAATTTTACTTTACTGTACTGCTGTTAACAAAAAAAATTAAAAAAAAGAGTGAATATTATGAGTTGAGTGAAAATTTAATTCAATAAGATATTGATGTATGTATGTAGGTACGTATATATGAAAATGTAATCAAAATAATATCCAAAAACAATTACAAAGAACAACAAGAACAACAACAAAACGTTGGTTTATTAAACAAAATAACAAGAAAAATTTCTTATTTACTCATTTTATCTTATTCGTATTATATGTATATAGGTATTTATATGCATGTTCGTGAGTATGTTCATATCAGGAAAGAGAATGTTGTCTGGTAACTAATGAGGTATAATCGAATTAAATTCCGGTCTAAGCATGTTAAACTAATAAACTAATCTTATCATTTTTTTTTTCAAAATCCCTTTCTATTCAGGAAAAATAATTGCAGTTAGGTAAACATTATTATCAGAAAGAACAGGCAACAATACGAGTTATAGATTTACAAACTAAAAAATTAATGCAATTTTTAAAATTCTTATCAGAAAAAAAAGTAATGATTACGATTACTTGCGTCTGTGTAAACTTTTATTCGTTGTAAATTTAATCAGATATAAAAATTCAAGGCCGATAAAATTTTCATTGCATTCTTTACGGTCTCAAAAACATATTTTTTGTACCTACATGCGTTATTAGGGATCAATCTAATGAGTATTGCCTACAGAACAGTTACAATACTGTGGTAATCGAAATTACCGCATTTCTGATGCGGCAAATCGAAATTGTATCGTGCGGCGTTATATGCAATATATAAAATTATTGCTGCAAAAATATGATTGATATTATTGTATAACGTGTCAAAAATAATGAAAATGATTTATTATTTCAAACACCGTACGCTTCGAATTGGAAATTCGAAATCGGTGCGGTTATTGCGCTATTATTATATTTAAATCAATTCTGTTTTTGAAAATCATATGGCACATAGCGTCCCCATCTACGTCATAGTTATGTAAGCTCATTGCTCAAGTACTTTTTTATTAATAGATGTACATATCACGTCTATGTCTTAATTTTCTGCTCCGTAAGTGATTGTGTTATTTATATATAGGATTAGAAATTTAGCATATTTTTACAAAATGAGTTAGTAAATTTTATTAACTGCATTTATTGACAGTGAAATGAGAAGAATACATAGAATGAGAACATTTTTATTTAAATTTAAAATCACTCAAAATCATGAAGATAATCTTTAATACGCAGGTATACATATGTGAATTACTTCAAAGCTTGAGGATGTAGATTATACTTCTAAGAATTTTTGAGTTTTATTTTAATAACCAAAAATGTTTTTGCAAGATGGATGGCTTGCAAGCCCAATTTATTTTGACATTTTAAACATTAAAATTTTTATTTTTTAATGTTAAAAAGATTTTTATATTCTTTAAAATTTTGTATTTTATTATAAGGGATAACCTTCTATGTTTAACAAATAATAAAAAATAATCTTAAAATTAAGAATATCATGTATAGGCGTTTGAACACAAGCTAAAACAAATAACATGTAGCTACTAATTGTACTTGTACCTGTACTCTAATTTTATTTGTAAATAAACATAAACTTACAGTCACAACAGTGAGCAAGGCTAAAAAGATAAATTTGTCAAAATTAAAAAAAAAAAGTAAAAAAAAGTTACGTAAAAAATGTAAATAATTCATGTCAAATCTTAAAGCATCTGTCATAATAACACACATATATTAATACATACATATTATATGAAGTGTTGAGTATTTACTTTAAAGTATATTTTGGATCAAAATTTACCTTTTAAAGTTTTCTGATTATTTCATTTGTGAATCGTAATAATTATAAAAACTCAATTTCACTCAATACCTGGAGAATAAAATACTTGCTTGAGTTAAATTCATTGTGAGTGATAAATATTACTATTACTTTATTGCTTGAGAGTAATGGGATATAGTACCCTACTACTTTATTATTTCCTTCACATTTTCTCAAATATAAAATGGAAATTCTTTCTGTTTGATTTTTAATAATAAAGTTAATTTTTGTCATGTTAAATTAGAGAGTAATTCCGTCAAATACATTTATATCTGTATATATCCTTTTAAAGGCATTACAACTCACAATTTACATTATGTATGAATTTGTACTGTAAATATGTATGTATGTTTATGGAGGCAAATTTTTATCTACATTGCTTTGCCTCCTACTATAGATATAATGTTTATATATACAACATACCACTCTCTATATTATGTAGGTAAATGTATTATATAACTATATATCAGTAGGTAGATATATGAGTTTAAATAGAGAGTGAGTTAAAATTTCAAATGAGTGGATTTTTTTTTTTTGAAATTATGAAATTTTTTACTTTAATTTTATTTTTTTTATCTCTACTCTTTTTTGTTAGCATAGGCAAGGCATAGCGTGTTAAAATTCTATTATATAGAAAAATTTTTTTATTGTGCTAGATATATTTACATATATACATACATACAAACATACACAAAGTATGTTTCTAGAATTTACCGCGCTTTTAATAAGCTATTACAGTTTTTTTATTTATTTATATTTTTTTTGACAATTTTCTTATAGAAGGGGTTAGTAAGGTAGATCGAACATTGTTGTTTTGAAATTAATTTAAGATGCATTCAAACATATTCTTTTAAAATTTCAATAATTATGTCTTGTCGCTTAAATTTCTTATACTAGACTAGATTGTTTCTTAAACTAGATTGAAGAAATTTCAAAACTAATTTGTATACCAATATTATTTTAGTATAACGTCTAATACCAGTGAAGTTTTACCAGAAAATCACCTCTCTAAGCAAAATATTGATGTTGCAAATTTGTTTCAACACTTGAGGCTGTAATATACGTTTTTCAATTGGGTAATTTTAATTTTTAAATAACTTGATTTATGATGTTTCACGTTTGATTGCAGTATAAAATTACATCTGTGATTAATTACACAAATAAGGGGTTTATCGAATTACGTACTTAAGTTTGATATTAAAATAAATTTCTTTTCTCCTATTCTCCCATATTTTCTACAAAATTTTTTCTATTTTTCTTTCCAAAATGGATATGTGTATATACACGAGTATATTTTCTAATTTTATACACTTGTGTACGCATACATACGTTTCCTAATTATCATACATTACAATATCATGGCCATTGAGTCCAATATTTTCACACTGTTTTCTACTTTTAATAAAATAAGGAAAAAAAGTAAAATCAAATATGTACACATATATCATTCTAATTCTAGGCCAATAATGTCAAGGGCGTGCGAATATTATTTAAATATATTCTTGTATCTAAATCTGATATACATAATATTATAAATATACATAATTATATATAAAAATTAAATCCATATGATATACACAGTGAAAGAGGATAAAATAATTTAATCAAGCTGTTTTTATATACGAACAATCTATCATAATACATTGTATAACACTTTACAGGTTTGGTCAGAATATTGAAGTTAAATAGATTGAGCAGTTAAATAATGAGTGAAAATTAATTTAAGTTTGTTATTATTATTACAATTTACAGATTTAAATTCAGATTAAATTGTAGTTACTCGGTAAGATGTGGATCCGAAATGTAATTTTTAATTTATTACAGTATAACACTTGTACCTAAACAGTTTAGCACAAATTTGATTGAAGAGAGAAAATAAGAGAATTAATTAAATAAGAGAAAAGAACTAAAATTCGGCATATAGAAATCATAGTCAACACCAAAATAGCTTTCCTTATACAGATTTCTCTTTTATTCAGGTACACATTTTATTCAGATTCCACTGTATATTTTTCTTTATTGTTCTAGATATTTACTTCAAATATGTATACATTTTTTATATGACAACATTTTATAAAAAAGCCTTTCAGAAAATATTGGCAACAATCCAAAATTATTTGATTTAGAGGAGCATTATTTCGTTGTGACGTACCTATATTTTATTTTTATCATAATATTTCTTCGAAAATTAAAATCTTATATTGTATAATTTGGTCAAAAATATAATTTATTTATTAAAATGGTCAGATCCATGATGCGCTATTAAAGTCAAAAATAAAAATAATAAAATTTCCGAAAAGAAAGGGGAAAAAAACCAACATAAATTTTATAAAAAAAATGAAAATGAAAAAGAAAGAAAAAGAAAAGGGTTCATGGGAATTCAAATTGGAAAAATAAGCTTGATAAGAAAAAAACAGGAATTCCAAAGTTCAATTTTTTCGGGATTTTGTTTTGTTTTATGTTGACTTTGGAATTTCTAAATTTGGAAATTATTTTGAAAATAGATTGACTCATAAAATTATTTATTTAAAATATATTTAAAAAAAAACAATGTTTATTAAAAAAAGATAGTCTCACTTAAACAGAATAAATATATGTTATATTTATTTTTTGACTGCGAATTCTATACATATGTACTCGTATACTACTGCCCTGGTTAGTAACCAGAGCAGTGTTTAAACGATTTTTTGTAGGCTTTACCACAATTCTTGGCAATTTCTATATAAGCAAAAGAAGATTTTGTAAGCATCACCTCTGTAATACAATAGCAAAACAGTAACACAAAATATAAACCTTAAGAATGAGCACCAAATATAAACCTTAAAAATTAAAGTCGAATTATTTTAATGCGCAAACATACTAATTTAGTATAGTACTATTGGAATTGCAATAAATAATTTTTAAAGTACTATACCTAAATCTTTTGTATTGAAATAGAAAATTGTGATATTTTTATTAATTTGTTTTTTAATTTTAATTGAAAAAGTCATAAAATTAATGAAATAATTAAAAGTTTAATTATTTAATATAACTAATTTGCACTAACGAGCATCTCTTATATAGTCTACATAGTGTACAACACTGACAAAACAACTTTTTAAGGAAGTCAGGAACCATGCGCTCCATCTTCTGTTAAATCCTGTATT